GACATGTAAATGAATTTTAATGAGTATGACAGTTTACTCGTGTATTTTGTATATATTAAATGCCCTATTCATATGCTAGAGCTGTTAGTGTATCATTGGTACGGATTTAATGGTCTGTCTCTTAGTAAATGTAAAGATGAAAACGACATTTTGTGTTTACTGCTAATGTGGGGGTAAGATCTATTTCACTCTGCAGGGATGAAAAAAAAATGTTGTGATATTGGGTAAACTACTCGTGTGGATTGGATAGACTAACAGTTTTTGAATAAATCACAACTACAAAGAGATGATCCCGCACTATGCCCAATAACTTTAGTCCACCTTATGGGTTCATTTGTAATATTCTATTCCTTCCGTGGGTAATTAATATATGCTCTCTAATAAATTATTAATTTTGCTAATTTGAATTAATGTGTATTTTACTAGTTGGACCTATAAGAAACAAATCCAAGGTAGGACAAATTTGAACTTGTAATGCTACTGACATGTTACTGTTCATTATGTTGAAAGTCTACTATGGATCACATAGAATCTAAGGAGCGAGCATATAAAGCATACTGTTGTGTAACAAGGAAAAAGTAATAAAATAAAAAAAATAATAATAAACCTTTGGTGTCTATAAACAACAGTTAATGCTAAAGTATAACTTCTTTTGAAAATTTGTGAGTGGTTGTTACTATATTAAAGTTTTTTATTTTAATTAAAGAAAAGAGCACTGAAAAATTCAGTTGTTTCAACAAGTAGAAACAAAACTTGCAGCTTCTAATTGCTTCTATGTTTTGTGCTCAATCTAAATAACTAAATATAAGACTGTAATTGATAAAATGTTCTGTACTGCGAAGAAGGACTAGTAAGAGATTAAAATAAAGAGCATGGGAAAAAGAGAAGTTCATCATTTTTAAGAAAAGCGATATTGTACCATCTCATCTCCTTAAAAACTATAATGAGATCTCAGTGGATATGTTTTATCATGCTATCAGCCACATGATATTCAACCCGATAAAAGAGAGACTAGGAAATCAAAAAGGGTTGCCACTTCATGAGTGCATTTATACTAGGTGTTCATGAAAAATTTTGGTTTATCCTTCTAGGTATAAGCTCATTATGTTTTATAATTCGTTTCTCTCTCATGCTGTGGTAGAGATCGTTTTCAGTGTAGACTAAGTTTGTATTTGGTATGGACTAAACTCTTCTGAGTTTTATGCTTGTGTGTTCTTGTGCACATGTTTTTGTACAGTTTATGTTATAGATCATGCAATAAAATATTTTATGTTATTGTTTTACGCCCATATTTGAAACAATGATTTGTTATCCTATGCTTAAGAACATGATATTCCTTGAGTCTAGTACATGTGTTTATGTAATTCATTATGGAAGTTTGGAATGCAATCCCGAATTCCCGATGTGTACGCCAAATGATAACCTTTATGGTTATAATCCATATGAGTTTGAATATGTTATGCTGCCTGTAAGGGGTAGAAATCGCTACGGATTTCATCCCTCCACTTGAAGGATTCCGGCTGATCTGGCGGCACCGAGTCCCAGTAGCCTTTACCTCTCTTCGCCAATAGGACCCTTTCCTAAGGCAATCCCACATCGGAAGAGAGTCGTCTTCCCCCCTGCCATATAAGTGAACACTTCCTATGGAGGAGGTACCCACTAGGTACCTGAAAAAAAGGCGCCTTTTTTGTAAGGGGTAGAAATCGCTACGGATTTCATCCCTCCACTTGAAGGATTCCAGCTGACCTGGCGGCACCGAGCCCCAGTAGCCTTTACCTCTCTTCGCCAATAGGACCCTTTCCTAAGGCAATCCCACATCGGAAGAGAGTCGTCTTCCCCCCTGCCATATAAGTGAACACTTCCTATGGAGGAGGTACCCACTANTATAGATCATGCAATAAAATATTTTATGTTATTGTTTTACGCCCATATTTGAAACAATGATTCGTTATCCTATGCTTAAGAACATGATATTCCTTACGTCTAGTACATGTGTTTATGTAATTCATTATGGAAGTTTGGAATGCAATCCCGAATTCCCGATGTGTACGTCAAATGATAACCTTTATGGTTATAATCCATATGAGTTTGAATATGTTATGCTGCCTATTCTTATGGAATCATAATACAAATATAAATGTTGGATATATGTCTAAACACCTTTAGTTTTGCTTGGAGTTGAGTCTTTGAAACTTTGTTAACGTCACACAATTGTACTATTAATGCAATTTTAGAGAAAGTATATAATGTCTAACCCATGTTTGTAACTCCATATTTTCATTACGTTTTGTTGCACCAATAATTCCGTTCATAGCATGTACCACTTGACTAATGAATACTACACCATGGGTTAGAACAAATTATTTTGGGCTAAACTTATGTTTCAATGAAGATATTGTGTAATCATAGATTATTCATATAAGAAACTTTTCTCTTGATACATGTTGTGTATGATTATTACACACGAACTATATATGTTGGCAATAGAGCAGTGTGATGCAAATGCTATTTTTATGAATTGCAAGTTGAAGAAATTACTTAGCTCAAATTTTAAATAAAGAGCTAAAACATTAGTAACTCTCATGGAAAAATTGGAAATGTGGGGGTATAATTAAAATGATATCTCTTGGATTTGCAATTTAAATTTTCTTAATGGATGGTTTTGTTATATTATCTATTTGTAATGAGGATTGCCATGACCTGTTGAGATCTTTATTGATTGTGGTCGCACTTACAATCTTCTCAGACAAATACATTTTAATGTGATGTTTATCTTTGATATTTGGAAGACAGGTCAGATCAATATTAAATAGAGAAATTAAGGCGTGCACGTCCGAGCGAGACATTCATCCGTGAAGAATGATCATTCCATATTAAAATTATAAATCTCAGTCAAACAAAGTTGACAAGTAATTATAGAGCTTTCGAGGAAAGCAATGAGACATGAATATATAAAAGATGATCTATTTCATCAACGAGTTTTTGAGGAAAGCTAACCTTTTGACAAAAGCTATGTCTCAAGAACTGTTGAGGGGGATGAGTCTAAGCCCACAATNTTTTCTCTTGATACATGTTGTGTATGATTATTACACACGAACTATATATGTTGGCAATAGAGCAGTGTGATGCAAATGCTATTTTTATGAATTGCAAGTTGAAGAAATTACTTAGCTCAAATTTTAAATAAAGAGCTAAAACATTAGTAACTCTCATGGAAAAATTGGAAATGTGGGGGTATAATTAAAATGATATCTCTTGGATTTGCAATTTAAATTTTCTTAATGGATGGTTTTGTTATATTATCTATTTGTAATGAGGATTGCCATGACCTGTTGAGATCTTTATTGATTGTGGTCGCACTTACAATCTTCTCAGACAAATACATTTTAATGTGATGTTTATCTTTGATATTTGGAAGACAGGTCAGATCAATATTAAATAGAGAAATTAAGGCGTGCACGTCCGAGCGAGACATTCATCCGTGAAGAATGATCATTCCATATTAAAATTATAAATCTCAGTCAAACAAAGTTGACAAGTAATTATAGAGCTTTCGAGGAAAGCAATGAGACATGAATATATAAAAGATGATCTATTTCATCAACGAGTTTTTGAGGAAAGCTAACCTTTTGACAAAAGCTATGTCTCAAGAACTGTTGAGGGGGATGAGTCTAAGCCCACAATGGAGTCACCTAGGGAAGTAACCCAACTTCTGTGATTGAGGACCCCATGAAGGAAGTTCAATGGGTAAAAACAATTCATACTGCGTGACTCATTAGCACCGTTGTTGAGAAAATATTCTAAGAGGAGATATTTTTATGCTCATCCCTGTGGCAGAGGTGCATATGTAGTATGACGGTAAGGAAGGATTTTATCCTGAATGAGACCGAGGCAGGAACACTCATGCAGGGTATTATGCACATGTACCCTTGGAGGGCTCACCTAAGTGAGAGTAGTTGTGAGACCGCGACTATGAGAATTGGGCTATTTTCTAGAAACTCTCATGAGAATTAAGATCAAGTATATGACCATTAAACGCACTGACCTGCAAATCCTGACAAATATCGGTACTGTGTGTGTGATAGTTGAACTCTGGCTCAAAGGGTCTAGTTCAAGCCTTTGATCACTATGATCCTTCAGGGGGAGACTGTTAACACTAAGAAAGGTTCAAGTACGAAAGACACCTACAACTATTGCATAGTATAATAGTTGTCTATATTTTATGTCTATTACTTTTATATAAATATATTTGGGCCATTTTGAAGTTTTCAAAACTTATGGAGAATTGTTAGAATAAATTAAAATAAAAGTTTTAAAAACTACATAACTAATTATTTTGTATTAATATTTCAGTTTTTAACTTTACTATTGAAATTTAATTCTTGCATATTCATGTCATTTAATTATAAAATTGATATAGGTTTAATAGCCTAAAAGTTACATACTAATATATTTTAAAGCCTATTATTCAAGAGTCATTAAGATCGTGCCTATAAAACAAGGTGAATGTTTTGGATAGAAGATGGATAATTTTACCATCTTTTCTATATGCTCATCTTCCACCAATTGTTGTTATTCTTTCTAGATATTTCTTTTTGTCTATTATTACATTTGCATACCTACAAATATTTGGTATTAGTTTACTTTGGGCAACGTCGATTCGAGTCAGATTCACCCTTCCTTCCTTCCAGTGGGTGTGACCATTAAGGAGGTATTGCTGCGAGCGTCTGGTTTGATTTTGGAGTCGCTGGTGTTTGTCAGTACCCTCACGCGAGGAGGTTCAATTACTTTAAGACAGTGTTCACATGACTCTTGGACTCGCAAGCTAGCTCTTTCTAATTTACAGTATCTATTTTATTCTATTCTAAATTGATTGTTATTTTATATTTATTTGCATAATCTTGTTAGTTTGTGATTTGAATATTATTTTGTTAATTAAAATTATATATAATTATGTTAATTTTCCCAACATTTTATAGGTTATATTACTCACAAAAGCATCAGCCATTGCCAATTAGTTTCTGACGCATTCTATCTCCTTCCTTATTCTCATCCTTGTCATAGGTGTTTACCAAACCCTACATTAGTCATGATCTCCTTAAAAAAATACCCTTAAAAGAAAGTCATCCAAGCCAATAAGTAGAACATTAGGACAAACCCTGCCATTTTTTCTTCTTCTACATCCATGCCTCAAAAGTTCCTGCATTAAAGCATTGATACATAACATTGTACGATTGGCTTGTATAATGTATAGAGGGTCACAAAAACATGCCAACAAAAACATAATACAAAAGAAAAACAGGAAACAAACAAATTATTGAATCAGTACATGTTGAAACGATGTCAATGGTTTTCACTGTTTACACACACACGTTTATAATGCGTGGGTTGGGTGGGGGGGGGGAGGGGTTGGAGAAGTGTATTTAATGAACCACAGGTCCACAAAGTGTTTTTTAGTGAGACAACTCATGAGTTCCTTGGTTTATTTAGCATCTATATGTAAAAGAAGAATAGAAGATACAATATGAAAGGCCTAAACAACTTCAAATTTCAATTTGTAGTTGATATTCAATGTAAATACAAGCATTAATGTACAAAATATCTCGACTTTAGAACAATTGTCTCTCTGTCTCTTAGTATAGTGTGCTTTTAGGTATTCGAACATTTTGCATGGAGATAAAGGGTGCTCTGTTTAGCAGTACAAATTGAGCACTAATTTGACATTGTACAAAACTATGAGGGTAATTATGAAAAAAAAATGTTTTTCAGCCTTGTAGGAGTAGTATAGGTATAGATATAGTAAATTTTATGTCTTTTCATGGTTGAGTTATCTACCATGAAGAAAAAGTATATGAGAATAGATTTTATTTTGACAAAAAACTATGGTAACAAGGTACATAAAATCATTAGTGTTGAATGGATCGATCTTGTTATGTCATCACGGAAAACTCCATTTATTGGATTTCATTTGTTACTGCATAAGAATTTAAAAACAACAATACTACTTGTACCTAATTTAACAACTTAATATGAAGAACTATTATATTAAAACTATTAAGTTGGTAATAGATTTCATCTACTAGTAGGAAATTAGGTCCTCAAAGTATAGTTTTCATAAAAAAAATTAAATGAGAAGACCTCTCTCATGTATACTTCAACGACTTTTTATTTTATTTTATTTTATGGGGAAGGAGACTTGAATTATTGACCTAAAAAAGGCAACACTTTTCACAAGATAATGAGTATCATCAAATCAAAGGTCCGTGGTATAAATATTCCTAAAAGTCTATAAGTAAGTCCTAAATCACCCTGAACATTATATTCAGATTTCCTCAAATATTATTTTCTTTCAATTTTTTCATTGGTAGATTACTTATCGTGAATTCAAATGAGATATATTGTATATAATTATCCTTTTATTAATTTATAGCGAGGGATCTATCAAGACTGAAAAATTGATAAAAATATAATATGTATATTGCTCCAAAGATAACTTCCATTACTTTGAAAATTGTCTTTCCCCCAGGTCAATTTGATTAAAGAAAAAAGAATGATTGAGAATAAAAGTGGCCAAAGAAACAAATGAAAGAAAAATGAGCATTGACAAAGGAACACAATTCCACCCCAGAGACTTTTGATGCATTAGTCAATCAATACTTTTTTTTTCCCTTACAGTCCTGCCAAAGTTGTGTCAGTGTGTATTTCTCAGTTGTTTTTGACCTAAATCTTTGCACTATCCATTCTAAACAACCAAAGAACATAATTTTATTTATTTATTTATTTGACAGAATTGATACAGGAGAGGAGAATTTAAACCAGTGATCTCGACATGAAAAATGAGGTGTTTAACCATTGAAATAGGACCGCAATCCTAAACATTAAGGGCTTGTTTGGTTGCCATATCAAAACTGGATAAATTAGATAAAATAATACATTCTAATACAATGTAGATGGATTAAAGACAAGATTAAATATGATATTAGAATAATACGTAATTTTATCTAATATTTAGCAATACATAATATAAGCGTTAGATAATAGTTATTTAATTCAATCGGTTGTTTGGTTATAGAATTATTTTATCGTATTAATGTTGAATTAACAAAAATACCTTTAATCAGTTTTTGTTGCATTGACGACAACTTGAATTTCGTTTGAGTTGAATTATAATACCACCTCTTTTGGTGGTATTAAAAAACCTCCATAATACAAGTCTATCGTATAAAAAATATACGATAAGTATACGTTTTTAAAATTAATACGGTATCAAATTTGCTTATCAAACAAAGTATTAGGTCCGATTAAATAAAAAATAGTACAATTCAATATTTAATCCCCTCGTAATACGTCTACCAAACGAACCCTAAGAACTTAAATCAGTATTGATGTATTATTTGCTCAATAACCATACCAAATAGATTGTTTTAAGGACTCATTTTACACTTTAATATGTCATGATTTTTTTTTTTNTGTCTCTACCGAAAAATTAAAGGAAGTAACCACTATAATGAGAATATGGTTCCACAGAGCTTAGCCTAGACGACTCACTTTGCCAAAGCCACAACAAAAATAATGTTTGACAGCTTGAAGAGTCAAATAATTTGATCAAAGAATTCAACAGTTACATACCTTGCCAGAGTTCTCTTTATTTCCAACAATAGTTTGGCAAGCCAGCCTCCAAGACTCTGGATTCTGAACATTCAAAAGAAGTTCATCTAATCAACCAATGTCCAATAGAGTTAACCTTGTACAAATGACAAAAGAGTGCAAAAAGAAAAAAAAGCATACAATGTACACATTGAGCTGTTATGTGCACATTTTCTGAAAATCCAGAAAATAAAAGTAAAATAGAATATGAGATAAAGAACCCACTTCGAGGGGGGAGAACCTCTGATGATTCAATTCAATTCGAGAAGAACTTACATCCAAAACTTCACAAGAAAGTTCAATACAATATTCAACAAATCTATTTCATTGATAGGAAGACCTTTAAATACAAGATAATAAAAACTATCTAAATAACTAACCTAACCCATGATTCCACTATCTCAAAAACCACCTAGAAAACTATCCACAAAATAACTTCCTAACAATTACTTCTAATATTGCATAAAAATATATTAAAAATGTGTACATAATATGAGCACTCAAACGTGCCAGAGATGCTATGGAGATGCTATGGAGCACTACACCTTATATTTACTGCATGTGCTGTGGAGCACTACACCAGATACTAACCGATCTTATAACTCTTCCATAGTTTGAGAGCATAATCCATTTTAAAATTCTGATAGTTGTATGGGATACCGTCTCTGTGTAAGGCAAGGTGTTTAAGTAGAAACTAAAAAGATTCACAATCATTCCTTGTAAACATGCCTTTTTTAGATATCGGAGCTCTGTTTTTGTTCTTTCATTCAAAAGATCCTTTCCATCTATAATCTGCATCAGAAGAAAAAGGAAATGCCAACAAGTTAGAATTACACAACATGAAAAATTGGATGTCTACGATGATCTAACATCTTTGTGATTTTCTCGGCAACAAAAATTTCATGTGATGGGTCAGGTCATTAAAGCAATACCAGTTTGCAAAACTTTCAATCTTAAAACACTTAACCATTGTGAAAGCTTCATATAAACCCTGAATCACCTAACTCAAGGTAGCCAAACAATTAGAGGAAGAAGCGACCACATTGCAAGAAAACACAAAAGGTTAGCATTTAGGGGGTGTAGTAAAGGTTGAGCTTGAGCCAACCTATTGTGTTTTACACAGGGTGTGAATGTGTCCCTATGCTCTTACCAAAATGTGAAATACTGATTACCTTTTTCCTATGTAATGCACCTCTAACATTCTAATTGACTAGTGCATATTGCCATATTTCATAGCATAACACTATGTTTTCACATGCTAAATTTCAACATCAGCCTAATTTATGGTAGCCCTTTGCCTTTCTTCATCATTATGATTTTGCCCCATCTTCGTAGTTGAATGAAATGAGCATGAGTACATACTCGTTGAAAGATCAAAATGGTGTGATTGCCCATCTAGGGGAAAAATTACAGTTTGCACTGTTGATACCTATGGTTTTAGAAATCTATTCGTCTAACAAGGAATTTGAATAGCTGATAGCCCTTTTCTTTTCGATCAAGAAGTTTTNCACTACACCTTATATTTACTGCATGTGCTGTGGAGCACTACACCATATATTAACCGATCTTATAACTCTTCCATAGTTTGAGAGCATAATCCATTTTAAAATTCTGATAGTTGTATGGGATACCGTCTCTGTGTAAGGCAAGGTGTTTAAGTAGAAACTAAAAAGATTCACAATCATTCCTTGTAAACATGCCTTTTTTAGATATCGGAGCTCTGTTTTTGTTCTTTCATTCAAAAGATCCTTTCCATCTATTATCTGCATCAGAAGAAAAAGGAAATGCCAACAAGTTAGAATTACACAACATGAAAAATTGGATGTCTACGATGATCTNTAGTATTGGACAATTAAGTTAATTTTTTAGATCTAATAACATTACTCAGCTGAAGGCACGGTACAAAATATGAATGGTTTTGAAATGAATATTGGCACCTGTTGGATGAGTTTATTTGAGACTGTCGTATAGATTTATTGAAGTCTGTCATATTTTATATTATAGATTTACAAGAATCGACTAAAAGTAATCCTAAAAAAATATAAATAACTCCATAAAAGTTGTAACATGAACTCAAAAGTTATAATTTTTTTTTTTTTGAAAACAAACCAAAATACTTTTATTTTAACCTATAAAATTTGTAAATTTTTATTGAAGGATACCATCGACGGTAGCATAGGCTTCTCCTATGGCTATAAATGCCAAACCTGTACGACATCGTTTTGACGTCAATAAACAAAATCATGTTAACGGTTAACGCTTTTTTACGGCAATGCTGATGCAAGGCCATACATGCAAAACCCGTACGACATCGTTCTTGTTACCTCTGAATCTATCAACTGGACTGAAACGTCGCCGTTCCCATCAGCATGCGTAGAGTAGAAAAAGGAAGTTTGCGAAAGACTAAAATGAGGCTGGGAGGGTAACTTAAACTTACATACGCGGCATAGAGCTCGATATTGTTATCCGACATGATGCTCCGAAGAAGCTTCTGTCCGCTTACTGCCGTGGCTATCTCCACCGGGTACTTCCCATCTGCTCCAGGTTTTGGCTACCATGAACCCAGCAACGAAACGTGTAAAATAACCACACAACAACACACACTCACGCACAGAGAGAGAAAAAAAAAAGTGTTTACAAAGTAAAACAAATGGGTACCCCTATAAATTCGAGCTCAATTTGGGGCTTTTCGGGTGCCGCCGGAGCAGATTCCGTTGAACTAGTTGCAAAAGAGGCGGCGATGGATCTCTTTGTGGCNAAATGAAGATTTTTTTCAGCATTCCAAAGGAGATTAGAATTTTAACAAACAAACAAAAAACAAAAGAAATGCGTAGCACAGTTTAAGCATCCATGTTCATATGCTACTAGCATGTCTCTACCGAAAAATTAAAGGAAGTAACCACTATAATGAGAATATGGTTCCACAGAGCTTAGCCTAGACGACTCACTTTGCCAAAGCCACAACAAAAATAATGTTTGACAGCTTGAAGAGTCAAATAATTTGATCAAAGAATTCAACAGTTACATACCTTGCCAGAGTTCTCTTTATTTCCAACAATAGTTTGGCAAGCCAGCCTCCAAGACTCTGGATTCTGAACATTCAAAAGAAGTTCATCTAATCAACCAATGTCCAATAGAGTTAACCTTGTACAAATGACAAAAGAGTGCAAAAAGAAAAAAAAGCATACAATGTACACATTGAGCTGTTATGTGCACATTTTCTGAAAATCCAGAAAATAAAAGTAAAATAGAATATGAGATAAAGAACCCACTTCGAGGGGGGAGAAGCTCTGATGATTCAATTCAATTCGAGAAGAACTTACATCCAAAACTTCACAAGAAAGTTCAATACAATATTCAACAAATCTATTTCATTGATAGGAAGACCTTTAAATACAAGATAATAAAAACTATCTAAATAACTAACCTAACCCATGATTCCACTATCTCAAAAACCACCTAGAAAACTATCCACAAAATAACTTCCTAACAATTACTTCTAATATTGCATAAAAATATATTAAAAATGTGTACATAATATGAGCACTCAAACGTGCCAGAGATGCTATGGAGATGCTATGGAGCACTACACCTTATATTTACTGCATGTGCTGTGGAGCACTACACCAGATACTAACCGATCTTATAACTCTTCCATAGTTTGAGAGCATAATCCATTTTAAAATTCTGATAGTTGTATGGGATACCGTCTCTGTGTAAGGCAAGGTGTTTAAGTAGAAACTAAAAAGATTCACAATCATTCCTTGTAAACATGCCTTTTTTAGATATCGGAGCTCTGTTTTTGTTCTTTCATTCAAAAGATCCTTTCCATCTATAATCTGCATCAGAAGAAAAAGGAAATGCCAACAAGTTAGAATTACACAACATGAAAAATTGGATGTCTACGATGATCTAACATCTTTGTGATTTTCTCGGCAACAAAAATTTCATGTGATGGGTCAGGTCATTAAAGCAATACCAGTTTGCAAAACTTTCAATCTTAAAACACTTAACCATTGTGAAAGCTTCATATAAACCCTGAATCACCTAACTCAAGGTAGCCAAACAATTAGAGGAAGAAGCAACCACATTGCAAGAAAACACAAAAGGTTAGCATTTAGGGGGTGTAGTAAAGGCTGAGCTTGAGCCAACCTATTGTGTTTTACACAGGGTGTGAATGGTGTCCCTATGCTCTTACCAAAATGTGAAATACTGATTACCTTTTTCCTATGTAATGCACCTCTAACATTCTAATTGACTAGTACATATTGCCATATTTCATAGCATAACACTATGTTTTCACATGCCATATTTCAACATCAGCCTAATTTATGGTAGCCCTTTGCCTTTCTTCATCATTATGATTTTGCCCCATCTTCGTANAGAAACAAGAGTTTTCGTTATAGTAGACTAAACTAGCTCTTTAATGTGGCAGGCAAACTATTTAACTTGTGGTGTTTTTACGCACACACAATTCGTTTACTTGACACGNCGGTTTATAGACAAAGGAATAAAGGAGTGTCATTAAAATTTAGTGCACATAAATAATAATAATCTATATTTATATCCATACTATTTTAAAATAAAATGACTTTTATTTTCCATCTTTACCCTTCAAGAATGCAAATATTACATATATACTGCCCTATTTTATTGCCCGTGGAGATATAATACATTCAGGTGCATCTACTCAACATTTATAATATATATAGCAATTACTCTCACATTAACAACTTATAAGCGATACCTATTCTATTCTGTGTCGTTACTCATCTATCAGAATTCGAACCATTTCATCTTCGATTGCGTCTTTCACTGCTTGGCCGTTTCATATATACTTTTCTTCTTGTACGATAGGGCAAGAGCTGGTGGAGATGAACTCTCCAGATCAGCTTCATTACTGCTTCCAAGAATATCCTACACAGTAACTCATGATCACCATTCCTAAACCATAGAGACAGAGAGTGAAAGAGAGGAGGAAGCTCCAGCTTTGGTGCACAAACTGCTCAGCTCTACTTTCAGGAACCATGTTTTAAATTTTCGTATCGTAATTAGGTCTTGTTCATCTTTAGCAAAGTAATGCTGAGTTATGTTAAACATGCTCTTGATATAGGACACCTTGTACCTTGTTCACGAAAAAAATATGAGACTAAATTTCTCAACCATTTTAATAGATATGATTTATTTATTTGTTTATCCTGGGGATCTAATTGAAATCTGATATGATCTCTTATGATTTATTTGTTTATCCTAATTTGGTGCTACAGCCAGGAGATCTACTTGAAATCTGATATGATCTATGTGTGAATGATCTTTATTTGCTTGAAGAAACGGAAGGTTGCACGTGTAATAGAGTCAATTGATTGATTCAAACTCAACTAAATAAATAAAAATTCCAATAAAAAGACATATCGGTGTAGATTTTCTTCATGGGTTAATAAGTAGATATGATATTCATTCATATATTCATAAACTTCCTTAGGATTATAAACTAAATTTTGTTTAATACCTTTAATCTTAGATTTTTGTTTGATTTGACTTGATCGAAATTAGTTACTACATGGATGAATTATAGTTCAAATATTATTGAAAATAATTCACACGTGTGAGATTAGGGTTTGAGAGGTATAGCTGCGTTAAGATTTAATTGGGTGAGATTAGGATAGAAATTTGGATCGATCTTAGAATGTTAACTTGATCTACTAGGATCCAGGTTAGCTAAAGTACGAACCAACTCACCAACTATCAAAATTATTCAGCAGCCCTCAAATGATTTCGGTTTACTAGAAGCAATTCAACTCGAAATAAGGAAGATGATAGAAAAGGAATTTTGCCATCAAATCTTATCCCGGAAAATGAAGAGTTTATATCTAGAGTGTCATGTCACCAACTTCTAGACTGTTACGTTATACTTAAAGAAAAATACCTTTAACAACTAAATATTTTCTTTAATATTCTAACAAACTAGAGGAGACTAGCCCATAATTATTTTAGGACCACATTACTCCAGGATGTTGCTGGGCAAGCCCTTGCCTTGCCCAAAGGTTGAGGAATTGTAATCTTAAAAGAGTGTTAATATTTTTCTTCTCCAAACATTAAAAATTAGTGAAACAAGAGTTTTCGTTATAGTAGACTAAACTAGCTCTTTAACGTGGCAGGCAAACTATTTAACTTGTGGTGTTTTTACGCACACACAATTCGTTTACTTGACACGGAGCTCACCCAGCTCCGACTTTTTCTGCTCACTCATACTTCTTAGTTTTATACCCCCATCAGTTAGAAATTAATTTTAACTGGGTTTAGTCATAACTTAAACTCGATTAAATCTTAACTAATATTTTGAGTTGGAGCTTCACTCCAATTGAATCATAACTAATCCTTACAAACATACACTATAGTATGAGTAACATCTCATTGTTGATCGATAGTGTCCTATGATGTTATGAAAAGAATGATTAAATGAGCCATATAACCGGAGTGAGTACATGAATTTGACTACATTAGTTGTCATCCAAAAGCATACAAGATAGACAAGGTTGGGAATGCAAGTAGTTGAGATCAGCGGAAGACAGACTCGAACAATCTTGACCATAAAAAAAAAACAAGCATAGAAGATGGAACCACAAAATCAATACATCTCAGTTTGGCAAATCTAAAGCATTCATGAACTCCTCATCACTTTCAAGAGATCTCATAAAATCCGGCGAAAGGCACACTTCCAAGTCCATGCTTCCTCCNAAAAAACAAGCATAGAAGATGGAACCACAAAATCAATACATCTCAGTTTGGCAAATCTAAAGCATTCATAAACTCCTCATCACTTTCAAGAGATCTCATAAAATCCGGCGAAAGGCACACTTCCAAGTCCATGCTTCCTCCACCTTCTCTTCCAGGATACAAACTCACTTTCCCATCAAACTTATTCGCATACCCACTTCGAATCCCCACTGCTTTTCCCAATCCAAATTGATTCCCATACATATCAAACCTTGGTGAACTTCCCATCATGATGCTACAAGGATCAAAGAACTGACCCAGCTGGTATATGAAAGGTGACTCCAGCCACGACTCAATCCATCCGCGAGCCATTTTGTCACTGTGGCTAGCCACGGCCTGGTGTAGTAGCCAAGCAGCCCACCCAAGTCCATGTTCAAGCAGTTCACCAGCTGTGGTGATTCCTCTCACCGTTTGAATTGAATTTCCAAAATAGTCTTCAGGCAATGGAGGATCCAACCTTGTTCTGTTATTGATTGCGATTCTGCAACTTGTTTTTTGATCATAGGGAAGACGACGAACCCGTGTCACGCACCTCCAGATAAGTGCAGATAAGGCCTGCAATGAGGAGATTTTATTGGTGTTGAACTCAGAATTTGCCTTTGCTTTGAGTTTTGACAAAGACTGTGATGAAAAGTGGAAGAATCTTTCCCTCAATTTGGGTGCTTCATGTCTGCTGAGGAACTGATCATGGTGGGTAAATGGGAGATTGATCATTGGACCATGACCTTCAGGAAACCAGTGATTGTGAATTGGTAGCCTTGAGATCGAAAAATTTGATAAATTCTTCGTTTTTGCTTCGAAAATCTCAGACCAGGCATTGAAGAAATGCCAGAAAGAGGTGCCATCAGCAACCGAATGGTTGATTGAACACCCAATGAAAATACCATCAATTAGCTCTGTCACTTGAATAGTTAACAAAGATAGAGTGTGACCATCATGGTTTATAGCCCTGTCATGATCGAAAAACGATTGGACAACCAGGGGCACATCAACTGGTGAAAGAATATCTGATATTGTCGAGTCCAAAACTGCATAGATAAATTTGGCGCCAGGACTGTTTTCGACATCGATAAAGACTGTATATGAAGGTGGATTTTCTTGTTTGATTGTTGCAAGGCGGCCTGCGAGTGGGTAAAAATGGAGGAGTGTGAGAGAGAGGGACTCTTTAAGATTGGTCAAGAGATCATTAATGGGTTGTTTTGGATCATCTGAAGATGGAGGTGGCTTGGGAAAGAGAAGGCCTTTCTGTATGTAGTGGACAGAGAGCATTGCAAGATCCCATAGAGCCAAGTGAATGGGTTGTTTTGACTCCTCTGAAGGGTATTGTGGCTTGATGAAGCATTCTGAGATGTGTTGAACAGTTGGAAGGCTCATTGTGCAGCTGTTGATACTCTCCTCACCAGCTCTGATTTATAGACTCACACTATTATCCATAATCTACACATATATATAATAATTATTTTTATATTTTAACACAAAAAAATTAAAAAGTCATTCTAAACATAATTTTGAAAAACATTTTTAACTCGGATTTTTTTTTTAAATTTAAAAAAATCAGCTCCAAATAGAATCATTATAAAAGTATTATAATTTTTTGATATTCCAAACAAGGCCAACACCAAAATAGATTTTGGCCTATAATTTGTACCATAATTTATGAAGACTTACGAAGACTTGGGATGCCACCAGAAGCTGGTGGGTGAGTAGGTATTGGACTTAGTCAAGCAATCCGTGATCACGTTAAAAAAAAAAAAAAAAAGTCAAGAAATCCATTTTTAATGCATAAATTTGTCAACATTAGGAAGGCCGCAGGAAATTACCAGCAACTATAAAAGTCGGCAAATGCATTCACGGCTGCTGGACTTTCTGCGTTTGAGCTAAGGGCGAATTACATACGGACAGGTTTGTCATTTAATCACTTAAATATCTTGATATTTAAAATATTACTCTACGTACAATTTCTATGAGATTTGTACATAGATAATACATAGACTCTTGTTATTAATGTCTATTAGTATATCCGTTAATAAATTACTTTCAGACCCCTGTAATTTAAAACGTATAATACTTAAATTACTTAATTTTAAAATATTATATTTAGACAAAAAATACTCTAATTACATATAGAATATAGAATATTTAAAATTTTAAAACCAAAATTCATATTCTATTATATCATTTATTAAAATAAAATTAAAAAAAATCTATTTTTTTTATAAAAAATTATAATTAGTATTGTTGATATTGAAATTTGGATGATCTCCACAATCAGTTTGTTGGACTTTAATCACCTGAAAAAGAAGTTAGACACCGGAGGGGAACTTCATTGGGTCCACTCTCTGATGCCTAAGTTAGTAATTGACTCAAAGGTACGACCTACATTTAGAAGTTAGAAGTGGCATATCTGAGACATCTTGGATTAAATTGACATTTTATATTTGATCAATTTTTTTTATCATCAAATACAAATTTGTGAAATAAGCTTAATCAACACATTTGCATGTTCCATTGTATCATCTATTAACATAAAATTTAAACAAAATCTTAATTTTTTGAAAAAAATATAGTTATTAGTATAAATATATCAAATAATTCAATTCAACACTCATTTCATAATTATACTATTTATTGGAATAAATTTTTAAAAAAAAACTAAATAAGGGATCAAATTATAATAGACACAATATTTTCTATTTTTAGTTGAAGTAATTTAGTCGTTTAATAAATTTTGTTAGTTTTGTAATTAATAAAGGGTTTAAGTGTAATATTCAAACTTGAGAGATATAAGTGTTACACACGTACAAATTTTAGGAAGTTTAAGTGTAATTTATTAATAGATATACTAACGAACATTAATGACAAGATATACTAACCGACATTAATAACAAGATTCAAGTGTTACAAGCGTATAAATTTCAGAGAGTTTGTATGTAAAATTTTAAATGTCAAAGGATCTAGATGATTAAGTGATAAACATTAAAAGATCTGGATATAGTTATCCCAAATATTAAACATATATTGTTTGAATCTTAAAACTTTCATCTGTTCTTTCTGCCCTAATAATAACCGTGATACAAGATTTTTTTTTATCAGAGGATAACCACAACATTTACGCTTAAAAGTGTAAGACTGCAGAATCCATATAACCCACACACACCCAAAGACTATCCGTGATACAAGGTTGATCTACATCATTGCCCCTTCCTAAAACATTAATCCCCTCCTACTATTTAAAGAAATACCCAGCACCACTTTGTCCCAAGCAAATTTGGGTCAAATACATAAATTCTAATCCATAGTCACAACCAAAATTGGATCAGATACATGAATTCTAATCCGCCATTGGATTTTATCAAACACCGTACTTTCAACCCTGGGAAGTAATCCAGTGACCAAACATGCTCTCTTACAAGTAAGAGATCTAAAATTCGATACTTCT